GCATGTGCTTTCACCACAGACCAGCTGAGCATGCTCTAGCCCAGTTTCCCTTTCTACTTACTGCCCACACCTGTTGTGCATTATGGTAGCAATCAAAAACAAGCCCAGAAAGAGAGTATTCCCCCTACTCTGTTGCTATTAGAACTGCCATACAGAAAAGGAGAAATGGAAAAAAAAAAAGGTTAGAATAAAGTTCCTGAAGGACTGGAGAACATAGTTAGCTGTAACGGGAAGTTGGTGGGAAAATACGAAGCCAAAGGAGGGAAGGGAAATGGATCTTTGATGAGGAACTGAACTAGTGAAGGGAAGGGTTTGAACTGGCCAAGATGGGCAACCATGGTTAGCAAAAGGCAGGTACAGATCAAGAAGAGGGCACGGAGAGGTCATGTAGGTAGGAGGCTGAAAAGAAGAGAAATACCAGTTTGTAGGCCATCAGAACTGAAAAGAAAGGGAGAATAGAAGGAACCATACAGTGTTAGAATTGGAATAGATTAGACTAAATTTCATGGTGATGCTGTAAATTAAACCAAGAAGTACAAAGGACATAGTAAATGAAAAGTAAGCTGATGACATCTCTACGATATTTTACCTACCATCCAGAAGGGAGGGATGGAGTACATATGAAATATATACAAGTTGTTCTATTACAGATGGTACATATGAGCCACTCATGACCTCATGACCAAGGCAATTTACTTCAAAGACAGCCCAGCCCAATCTGGCTCACACCAAGCACATGAAGCAGAACAAAATAGAAATTCCTACACAGCAGAACACACAAGAACAATACCACCAGTAGTGCACTCCTTCAACATCTGAACCACCTCAAGGATCTGGCAACAAACCTAACTGTAACAGGGTAATGGCTACTATCATAACAACAAACACAAAATGCAGCCAGCAGGTGCTGAACCAACCAGTGCCAGCTACACAGGGACAATTACTGGTTTTGATACAAGCCAAGATGCCACTGGCCTTCTTGGCCACCTGGGCACACTGCTGGCTCATGGGCAGAAAGCTGTCGACCAGCACCCCAGGCCCTTTTCCACTGGGCCACTTTCCAGCCACTCTGCCTCCAGTCTGTAGCACTGCATGTGGTTGTTGTGATTTAACTACAGAGCCCAGCACTTGGACCACCTTACTGGACCTCATACACTTGGCCTCGGCCCATCCATCAAGCCTGTCCAGAACCCTCTGCAGAGCTTTTCCACCCTCCAGCAAACCAACACTCCTGCCCAACTTAGTGCCATCTTCAAATTTACTGAGGGTGCCCTCAATCCCCTTGTCCAAATTATCAACAAAGATATTAAACAGGACTGGCCCCGATAGTGATCCCTGGGGGACACCACTAGTTGCCAGATACCAGCTGGATTTAGCACCACTCACCAACACTCCCAAGGCCTGGCCATCCAGCCAGTTTTTAATCCAGTAAAGAGTGCACCTGTCCAAGTCAGGGCTGCCAGCTTCTCCATGAGAAGGCCATAGGAGACAGTATCAAAGGCTTTACTGAAGTCCAGGTCCCTCCACAGCCTTTCTCTCATCTACTAGGTGGGTCACCTGGTCATAAACAGAGATCAGGTTGGTCAAGCAGGACCTGCCTTTCCTAAACCCATGCTGACTGGGCCTGATCCCATTTGTCCTGTACATGCAGTGTAACTGCACTCAATATAACCTGTTCCATAACTTTCCTGGGCTCTGAGGTCAGGCTGACAGGCCTGTAGCTCCCTGGATCCTTCTTCTGGACTTTGGATGAACGTCCCACTGGCCAACTTCCAGGAATCTGGACCCCCCCCCCATTTGCCAGGACCGGTGACAAACGATGGAGAGTGTCTTGCTGAGCTATTTTGCCAGCTCCCTCAGTACCCTGGGGTGAGTCCCATCCAGCCACATGGACTGTGAGTGTCTAAGTGTCACAGCAGGTCACTTAACTAATTCCTCCTGGACTACAGGGGATAGATTCTGCCTCCTGTCCCTGTCTACCAGCTCAGGTAGATAACTGGTCTTTCTGTTACAGACTGAGGCAGAGAAGGCATTAAATACCTCAGCCTTTTCCTCAGCCTTGGTTACAAGGTTCCCCTTCACATCCAATAAAGGTTGGAGATTTTCCTCCTTTTGTTGTTAATGTATTTATAAAAACATTTTTTATTTTCTTTCACAGCAGTGGCCAGATTAAATTCTAGCTGAGCTTTTACCTTTCCAATTTTCTTTCTACACAACCTAACAACACTCACGTACTCTTCCTGAGTTCCCTGCCTCTTCTTGCAAAGATGATAAACTCTCTTTTTAAACCTGAGTTTCAGCAAAAGCTCCCTGTTCAACCAAGACAGTCTCCTTTACCAACAGCTTATAAAGACATAGGGACAGCCTGCTCCTTGGCCTTTATGATTTCCTTCTTAAAGTATGTCCAGCCTTCCTGGGCCCCTTTGTTACTAAAGGCTATTTCCCAAAGGACTCTCCAAACCAGTGTCCTGGACAGAAGAAAATCTGCCTTCTGGAAGTCCAAGAGGTTGTGCTGACCCCCTGCCTTACTCCACTAAGAACTGAAAACTGTCATTTTTGTGGTTGCTGTGCCCAAGACAGCCTCAAACCACCACATCTCCCACCCGCCCTTCTCTGTTTGTAAACAGCAGGCCTAGGGGGTCACCACCCCTGCTACTCACCAGCTGTGTCAGGACGTTTTATCTTCCACACACTCCAGGAACCTCCCAGACTGCCTCCCCTCTGCTGTGCTGAGTTTCCAAGAGACATCCAGCAAGTTTAAGTCTCCCGTAAGAACAAGGGCTAGTGATCACGAAATATCAGCCAGCCACTTACAGAATAGTTCGTCTGCCTCTTCATCCTGGTTGGGTGGTCTATAAGAGACTCTCACCAAAATGTTTGTTTTGCTAGCCATCCCTGATTCTTACCCGTAGACAGTCTACCTTATTATCACTATCCTTAAGCTCTGAACAGTTGAAACACTCCCTAATATACAGAGCCACCCCAAGACTTAATTTAAACAACCATAATTTAAGATCCTAAGTTGCTTTACAGATGCCTGACAAACATCACTGTTACCTCTCAAACACCTTCAATTTCAAGTTATCGCAGTCCATGAATAAATAAAAAATTATCTTTATTGATGTATTTTTTAATCTTTATGTGTTTCCCATGATGTACAACAAAACTGAAAGCTGTGCATTACACAAAGCTCTAAACAGCGAGATTACATGATCTTTGTTCAACTTGTTTTGCAAGAGGTGGGAGCAGGGGCAAGTGACTTAGAAGTACAGAGGTGCTGTGTGGTCATTCAAGTGTATGGTTAGAAAAGCCCAGGCCGACCTGCAGTTGAATTCGGCAGAAGACATAAGAAGCAACAAGAAATGATTCTGCAAGCAAAACAGCAGCAGAAAGGAGACCAGGAAAGACACGGACCTACTGCAGAACGGACAAAGGACATGAAGAAGGCAGATGTATTTAATGCTGGTTTTGGCTCAGGATTTACCAAAAAAGATGGCTCTCAGGTGTTCTAGATCCCCGAGACTAGAGGGAAAGTCTGCATCAAGGAAGACTTACCCTCAATTGAGAAAGTTAGGGAGCACCTAAAAAGAGCATCTAAAGGTATGCATCCTTTTAGCAGAGGAGGACAACAGTATTTTGTGATGCATTAAGAAGAATATCACAGGCAGATCAAGGGAGGACATCCTTCCCCTCTTCTCAGTGCTGGTGAGGCCACACCTGTAGGACTGCGTGTGGCTCCGGGTTCCCCAGCACAAGGCAGATGAGGCAAGTTTAGCACAGAGCCATGGAGGTGATGAAGAGACTGGAGCATCTGACACACAATGAGGGGGTGTTGTGGTTTAGGAAGGGTATTCCCCGGCTTAGTGTTCCCACTGAAACACTCCAAGCCATGTGCTGCTCGCTCACTCCCATCCTCCCTCCCTCTCCCCAGAAGTGGGATGGAGAGGAGAACTGAAGGCACAAAAAGTAAAGACTGGGGGCTGAGATAAGAACAATTCACTGGACACAGCAATGAGATCAAAAGAACAGTAACAGCTGCAATATCAATAACAGAGAGAACCAGCCCCTCCACCACACTTACTTAACCATCAGGGACCTCCTTCCCCATCCCCTGGATATGACCTGAGGTGGAATAAAATAACACCTGTGTCCTAGCCGTGACTCCTCTTGGCTATTGCAAGACTTAATCCTGTCCTGGCCAGAACCAAGACAAAGGCCAAGCTAGCTCACATAAACTGCTGCTTGGATGTAATTTTTATTATTTTTCATCGGTATGGGTACAACAACTAAAAAATCCCCAAACAACCTTGCCTAAAAAAAGGCAAAAATCATGTGGCAAATTCCAGCCGTGTGATTATATGCACAAACAAATGTGAAAGACATCGTGGCAACTAGTCATTGATCAACCTAAATATGTATTTAAACAAAGATTCTCAGCAAGCCCTGCATATGACTGCTCGTCATCTTCAGACATTTGCCACACAAACATGATAAATATCTCACAAGAGACTAAAAACCTGTTTGAATTTTGATTAAATTACATCCATATCCAGTAACTAAAAAGCCAAAGCCATTTATTCTTCAGAAATTCAGAGGCGTAACAGATTTGTAACTAAGATTTTAAACCCACCTAAAAAACTCTAAATACATCTGTGACTTCTCTTTTAAATCAATTTCATTGTAATATTAGAACTTTAATTCTAGTACTTAAGCTTTTTTGGGTTGGTTTTTGCTGAAGTTTTTTAAGTGTTTTTACAGACTTAAAATTATTTTTAGATGTGTGCAGTTCCTGATATTCATATGTCTGCTTTCTTTTCATTCTTCCCAGCTTTTTAAAGTACCTACAACTCTTCTGCCATTTCAGTTACCAGGCAGTAGACTGTAGCAAATCACATAAATCTTCCATGAACATGTAACTGCACAATTCTGCAGAGAGAGAGAGACTTCAGGGCAGTAAGGAACACTGAGATTACCAGATTTAAATCTGAGTTTTCAACCGATTCAAAGCAAAATCCAAGGAGCCAATCCCATCTCCTTCAGAATCAACAGGAACACGTGAGGGTGGCATGGTAACGACACTGAACCGCTTGTAAGCTGTTGACGTGGTTGCTGCCTCCCAGTTTTTCTATATTTCTTTTTCTGAATTGAACAAACTCACTGTCTTTTAATTTATCTTAACTGACATCCAAATAACACAATTCTAAGTAATTGTATGACTTTTTATACCACTTTGCCTGGAATAAAGGAAATCATGAACACAATTGAAAATAACTGACCATAATTGAAAAAAAAAAAAAAATACCTGTTATTGAACAGTACACTATGTGAGGTGCAATATTTTTAATGTCTTCATAACCTAAACCCATTTCAGCCAGTTTCCCAGGGATGTAGTTTTCCACAAAAACATCAGATGCTGCTGCAAGCTTCAGAAAAGAAAAGGATGAGTAAGATTTATTAATTAGCTTCCAAAAGTTCAATACATTTGCATGCATTGTGTAACTTAAATTTTAAAGACTCACTAATCAAAATGGCTCCAGTCTTTCTAATAAGAGAGAACTTACAAGTCTAGAGATTTTTTTTTGCCTGTTAGACTCTGCATTTCTGCAAATTACATATTAGAGATGCCACATATCTAAAAAGAAGACTGTCAAAATCCTTAAGTGATTAGACAAAACTGTGATATTACACACTGATATAATATTATCACATCAATTTCCTACAGCTTCACAGCAGTTTACAGAACAATCTTCACCTATGTAGTTGCACTTACCTTCTTTCTACCCCCTTTTTCTCGAGGTATCTTCATCCTTCACTTCTTTTCTACCTCAGAAATAATTTTAACTGGCTTTCGTTTTCAAATCATTGATTACAATTAGACCAGCTTCTATAAATTAGTGTCATCATAACAGCAATCACGTGCACTTTTGTTTTAGCATGTCAGCTGTTCAGCTGAATTTAAGACCAAAGAAGCTGCCAACTTTGCAAATATTTAACAAGAAAGACAGAAGAAACTGATTCTTATTCGGACAAGGCAGCACTCAGCTTATAAATGGTTTAATTTGATGCACAGAAGAGACATTATTAACATTTACAGTAACTACATGTGGCCCATGGCAAAGCTGCATTTTAAAATATGCTATTAAGTATTTTTAAAGTGGCTATGTCGAGGACCTGCTGGACCATAGTGAAATAAGAAACAGATCCTTAATTAGGGAAATACAACTGGGACAAGCTGGGACTAGGTTTTAATAGTATGCCTTTACAGAAAATAAAGTTAAGGAGGTTTTATTTTCCATTTAAATCCATCACAGTTCACATGTAAATACTTTTTAAACTGGTAATGCTACAGCCTTAGCCTAATTCATTCAAGAGGCCAAAAAAAAGGGTATATACTCTCAGAGAAATGAATTTTCAAGACATCCTACGAGTGCTGCATCAGTTCCACGGCTAAAGTTTTCGTGGCACTTGGAAACAGACTTTAATGCATGAAGGCAGCATTCTATGTATGCTACTTTTTTTGATGCTCACTGAACCCACAATTCTGCCATTGTGGAAAATGGATTCAGGCCCTGATTCAAACAAAATGTGTGTTCTTAAAACTCAAAGGAATTTTCGGTCTCAATAGGGTTTTAAGTCCATTGTCAACTGAAATGTCACACTTTATGCCCTTTATATACATCATTTCTATTTTAACATCTTCTAATGGAGTGCTACAACACAGACCCGAGTTGGAATACTATCTATTCCAGATAGGAACTGATATGCTCAACATCTATGCCTCAGGAAATAAAAACTGTCATCATTCATGCCAAAGTAGTCATTATATTGAACAACAAGGAATGATGCTGCTAACCTGATTAAATAAACTATACATATCTTTGGGAAGTTTTCTTTGGGTTTTCCTTGAGATTTTTTTGGTTCATTCTTTGGAGGGTTTTATTGGTGGGGGGTGTGGTTTTGTTTTCACAAGAACTCCCCAGAAGAGAATGTGCATACACATAAAGAAATATATATATATACACATTTTTGTGTGTGTGTACATATATATGTGTATTTGTTTTAATAGTTTGCTTTATCAAGTAAGAGAGTATGTATCAGATGCATTGACCCATCAGCTAAAAGTAGTGGAAAAGAAGAAATGCCATCACCTCCCAGCCAACTAAATTCTCCCACGTCCTCACGAATAGATAAGTTAATTAGTTAAGGCTAAATACACAGGAGAAAAGTATCCTCAAGATTCTTAAACTGAGCTTCTGACAATAATTCTTGAATAACGTTCTAAAGAGATACTGAGCCATATTACTACAAAAGGATGCCAAAGTATGGGGCTGGTGTACACACCATCACTGAAGGGGAAAAGAAAAGTTATTTTCATTCAGGAAGGCATACAAATATTTGGAAGGCAGTAAACAGTGAGCCAAAAACATCAGAAAGAAAAACAGGGCTACACATGACACAGAACAAAGAAACAGAAAAGAAGACCCAAGAATAATTTTGTGGAAATTACCTAATCATGTATGAAAGAACAGACCCTTGTAAAAATATTTTGTAGTGCTGTGCCAAAGGATGAAAGCCAGCAAGGACTCCTGATAACAGATTTCTTCACGTCACTCGATGTAACTGATTGAATTATCAAGTCTGTGTTGTGTCATACAGCTAAAGACTCACCAGTCCTGTTTTTAACACAATTCCAGACTGAGATACGCCCTCATCTACCTATATAAAATTTCTGAGAGAGGGAAATACAATCTATTCTAACCATGCTATCTTTCTTAATAAAAAAAATTATAACCTTCTTACATTTCTTTGCAGTGTTTAGGCTCAGGCAAAATTTATAGTTATGGATGAGGAATCAGTGTCACAAACTTGAATTTCTGCTTGTCATCAGCTACTTTACAGACATGAACACTAGTTTTTGTAGTTACAAATACAATACTGAACAATCTCAATTCTACACACATCTGTCCTGATATAGCAGGAGGCAACTGGAAACAAAAGCCTGATAGGTGACTTTCTCTTTACACATACCTTTAAACAAAACTCCAAACAGAAGTTCCATTTGAGATGCATAATGTTAAGACCTCTGCACCAAGTGCTTTCAAAATATACCACTCTAAATCAAGCAGAATGATGGACAACTCCACAAGTAGAGTGACATTTAAATAATGCCTCATCAGCTCAAAATGTTGCTGTATCACAGACAGCAAAGATACTGATTTAAGGAACAGAAATCTATAGTGATGATTAAAGCAGCTTTATTAAAGGATACAAACTATAAGAGGTTAATCTGTCACAGGAAATCTCATTTTCACAGCTAGTGGGGTAAATATTTAACAGGTGATGCTGTTTTTTTCCTCCAGCTCATCCTGGCTTATAGGCCCAGCTGCCTTGAACTCTTCGCCCTGAACACCTCCAGCCCACACACGTGTCATCAGTGGACACTGCACAGAGTAGCTTTTCTTTCACCATTTGTAAAGGCCAGACAACTAATCAGCCTTCTTATGCGACAGGAACAATTTTAATAGCCCTTACTTAGAATATGACTAGTTTATCCAAAAAGAGGTCTGTGTTATACCATGAAAAATTATACCTAATGACAGTTTCTGTTTCTAAATTTTTTAGAGGATAAACATACAACTTTTTAAGAAATCAACAATAAATGGTTCTGTTCTGCAAAAAGAAAAGGCATTCCAGGATCCTTACAAACTCCGAAGATTTCCGTATGAAGTACTTTTTTACATAGCTAACAAGTCACAAGTATCAGAAAGCTTAAACTATTTCCATGTCATGCAATATTCCCAAGAGAAAACGCTACCAGACAAATTCCACTTCTTGCATGGCACATGCAGTCTCACTGTGAAAAAGTGATTGGAACTGACACTGAAACAAACAGTAACAGAAGGCAGCTGTTAGTACTGCAGGGCTTAAAACACAGCACTAGCAAGTGGCAGGTCTCATATTCCTCAACAAATAATAAAGGGATGACAAAGCACAAGTTTCACAGAATGGGAAATATGATGCTTTTACTAATTTTTAAATAGAAAAAAAACCGGATCACCCTTAAAAGACCCTGAAGTCGAATACTGAAAAAGAAACAAATACTAAGTTTGACCTACGGGGCAAGATTTCTCAGAAAGATACACAGCTACTGAAGTCATGATGTCACTGTGACATTCAAGAAACTTCAAATACTGGAGCACAGTATCTCCTCTTCCTCAGCTGCTCGCTGACATCACAAGATCAGTCCATCTTGAATCTTTCTAATGAAGTAGTGCAGCAAGATCAAATACAGCAGCAGTAAGAAGAAAGCAATAGGCTATTAGACCATTTCCTGCCAGTATTTCATTTGATGACTTTGTGACATTTTTGTGCAAATTTTAGGTCTAAAAATAATTAGAAGTTACACTGAACATTGAATCCAAAAGCACAGAGGTTATATACTGTCATTTACCAAATTAACTGTGTACGTGCATTTTTTTAATTATCAGACATCAAATTAATATCTGAAACGCAGAGTTTAATCTTTATTACTCGGGATAACACCAATACAAAATAGGCACACTTTGCACGCTGTCAAAACCTACCTCTCTGATTAGTTTTGCTCCTTTTGAATCCTTCATGTTGATAGCTATACTCTGGGGATTAAAAAAAAAAACAAAACACAAGAGTAATTTATGTGAAAACCCTTCTGGTGTTCATAAGTCTCTTCTAAACATGACCAACAGTCAAATTCACACCAATTTGGATAAGTAAATTGTAACATATACCCCACCTCCTTCTGCAAAAAAAAAAAAAATTTCTCTCTGTAGAGCAAGCTGAACTGTCTCACCAGCGGATCAGACAAGGTCTAAAACAAGTCTGACAGATGTGCAGTTGGGGGCTGCACCACATGCAGTCTCTTCACTGTATGTTTGCACAAGACTTACTACTGCAAATACACGTGGGGACAATCAGAAACATTTGTTTCGATGGCAACAAGCCATTACACAATTCAGGTACGTGGTGAAACTTCACAAAGTTTCACAAGCTCACTGTGGTATACTGCCAGCACTCCTTCAGCTCCAGGTGCCAGCTGACACAGGTCAGCTGAGCTGATGCACTTGAAAAAAAAGGATCATTCCATTAAAATAACCCTTATTGTCAGCAGGTTTCATTTTCAGTCAAGTTGCACCAGCCACTGAAGACAGGAAGGGGCACTTCTGCTTTTTGAATTTGCCTCAGCTGCCCACGGCACCACACCAGAGATCTGCAGCCCCCTTTGTTCAAAAGCACTCTTGTTTATTCTCCTCAAATTTATTCATCATAACTTAAAGCCAGTGTACCTCTTGTTCCATTACATTCAGTTTTATACTAAGAAGTTTTATACATTCAGTTGCAGTTACAGAAAACTTAGTCTAATGTTCAATTCCACCCTCCATTTACCTTTTTATTTCTATTGACACTGAGAAAGTAAATACTTTCTTTCCCAGCAAAAGGTGGACCCCAGGCTCTTGTATCATCACCAGCTCCTGAAAGAAATACCAGCACAGATTCATAGTTTTCCAATATCACACTGCCAACAAATAAAAAGAATAAAAAGCTTTCCTCCAATATCCCATTTTAATCACCTGAACTTCATCCAGCAGGTAGGACAAATATTAGTTTAAAATATGTATTTTCAGTTATTTATATCAAAAACCACCTAAAAGTGAATGTAACTAATCAAAGTGCACAAAGTGTTTGCTAGTGCTGGGATTACATTTAGTCTTTAAAATACTAACACAGCCACACACCACCAGTGTATTTGCAGGTTTTCTGGTTGTTTTCTTATCTGTGTGTTGCTGGTTTGGTTGTTTGGGGTTTTTTGGGGAGTAGGGAGTGGTAGGGATAGAGGAGTTGGGTTTCTTTTGGTGGTTTGTTTGTTTTAACTTAAAGCAGAGCTCCGATGCCATTCTTTTAGGCAATGAGGAAGAATTTAGTAGAAGCTCTTGCCTGGACCAAGTCACACAGTGCACACGCTCAATAAGTTATTCCTGAAACCTTCTAGACACCCCATCAGGATACCACTGATAGACTACAGCTGATTAAGCTTCATGCTGCAGAAACAAAAAGAAGCACTTGCTATAGCTAGTGCGACGCCCCAGCTCCAGCTCTTCCAGAAATCCTGCCTTACAGAAAACAGAAACAAATTACACACAGTCCAATCAGAAAAGAGCTACAGAAGTTTCTGCATCTGAAAACACACACTCAAAGATTGGTAATCTGACACTTCCAGCACCAGCATGAAGATTTTCATTCAAATTCAGAAATTTCCCTTTTACAGTGAACTCTCATCTCCACTTTGCATGATTACAAAGAAAAATTTCTCCAACAAGCTAATGTTTAATTAACAACCTGAAAGTGCACTAGAATACCAAAATTTTTCTCAGGAGACAGTTGATATAGCATGCCAGGTCACCTTGTATTCTACCAGTCAAAATTCTTGCCAAGCCCACTAGATCTGCATATTATTACACAAAAGCAGTGCCAAGAAACAACATATCTATTTAAATGCTCCTACTACCTTCCTTCCTTGTAACACTAACATGAAAACAGAAGGTCGAGTTTCTGTTTCCAAAATTGAAGTGCCTGTCATTTTATCAGTAATCTAATCCTGAGAAGTCAAATGTATTCCTATTTTAAATTATCTACCACACTTTTGCTCAGAGGAAACTGAGATGAAGATTCTGAATTCTCAAATGGGCAAAACACCTTTTCCAGAACTATTATGTAACTAATTGCTGGAAGGATTTGTGTGTTCACAAATTTTGCATGTTAAACTCTGCACTTCAAACCCTGTTTTAACCTTCTTACCACACTACAAAAGACACCCCACCAAACTGAGCATTCACAAGCTCAATTTAAAATCAAAGTAAAGTCCAAACAATTCAAAAGAAATCAATTTAGTTTTGAGCAAGGCAATAAGGCTTGCTCAAACAATTAGTAAGTGATGACTCAGTACTGTTTTGTATATTAATATCTAAAAAAAGTCACCTGACCTTACAACTTCAACCTTCTCACCTCATTTCTAAATAGAGACACAGACTATTTCTGACCAAAACACACTTCCGTGTAGCACAATGTTAAGCTTAAAGCAAATAGATCATAAGCAAAACAAACCTACTAATAACCAGTTCTCTAACATGACAGAGAGAGCACCAGGATAAAAAACATTCCTCAAACTCGAAACAGCTATTACTTAGCACAATACCATTCACAAACTGTCACCAGAAGCACACCATCAAGAAATAAACATAGGATTGTCTATCTAAATATTTTCAAAAGTTTTCAATGCTACATTTTCATTCGTATATTACTTAAAACACGTAAGCAGCTATTTGTTAAGCTAGCTCACATTCTTATTATATCTAAAATGGACAAATAGAAATCTCACCTGGTTTTTCCACTTTGATAACTTCAGCTCCTAGATCTCCCAAATTCATTGTGGCAAAGGGTCCTGCAAGCACCCTGTAACATTAAAGAAATACTGTTTCCTTAGTTTTTCCAAATATAATATTTGCACCTAGACACACTGTTCCAAATTACAGACAAAACACAAACCTTGTTAAATCAAGAATTTTCACACCATCCAATGGCTTTACGTTACCAGCACCTGACAAGAAACAGAAAACAGTGACTTTTATCTTAAAAAACAATAAAATAAAATTCAGGAGTGTTTCTTATTGGTTGTCTGAAACACTGTTTTTATTACACTGTCCCCTCATCTCCCTCCCAAAACACAGGCTAATAAAGTTTTCTGAACAAGCTCATTATTAGAAGGATATTACATTAGTAAAGCCTTTCAAAGTTGGAAAACCTTACGGTGACATTTCAGAACATATTCTAACATACCCTAACCACCTAGCAATTCTACAATAAAGCTACTTCACAGAAATATTTTTATGTGTGCCCTTCACAAACACTCAAACAGCTTTTAAAGGTTAATCTGAAGAAATATAAAATAAAAGCATTAGCAAGGAACATCATCAGAATGACACAAACTAAAAATAATGAGTAGCAGGCCAATGTGAAGTACAGTGTCCTCTCAAAGTGTTTTGACCTACGTAGACCCATGCACTCGAATCACACCACAAAATATCAGCCGAGAAATCACTCTAACTTTCAATGGCAGCTGCACGTGCAAGATGATTACCAGGAAATCACAATGCTTTCCTCCTTTACCTCACCCCTTCCAACACGACCAGCTCTAAGAAACAGCAGCAATGGCAATAAACGTCACAGACAGAGCAGGCAATCTCTCAGCCTAGAGCACAGATTGGCCAACTGCTCTTTCTTCTTCTCACTCAGTGTCTTCAGTTGCAGGTGAGGGACACAAACACTTCATCACCCTGGGTGGATGGTAATTTCATTACTATTGGAAGGTGGTCTCATGTCACACACACAAATGAAATAAAATAATGCACCTAGCCAGCAACACCACAAAAATTACACTTACTAACTTGGGGTAAGCATATCTTTTTGATGCATGTCTAAGTAAAAGAAAGATGTAAAACACAGGGAGGGGAGGGAAGGGGCTAGCAGCTGAGGTCATTTGTCTGTTCAGCCTGGAGAAGAGAAGACTGAGGGGAGACATTGCTGTCTACAGCTTCCTTGGGAGGGGGAGAGCCAGGGCAGATCTCTTCTCTGTGGTGACCAAGGACAGGATCGGAGAGAATGGTTTAAAGTTGTGTCAGGGAAAGTTTAGGTTGGATATTAGGAAGAGGTTATTCACCCAGAGGGTGGGTGGGCACTGGAACAGGCTCCACAGGGCAATGGGTCACAGAACCAAGCCTGACAGAGCACAAGAAGCATGGCATGACTCTTGGGGACAGTCCTACGCAGGGATAAGGTTTGGACACAATAACCCTTATAGGTTCCCTTCCAACTCCACATATTCTGTGAATCAAACCAACCAGAAAAAAAAAAGCAGCACTGGGTATTCAAGGCTTCTGTTAAAATATTTTCACTAACTGTACTGCTCTCAGTGAGTACACTTGCATCCCGCTGCTCATCTTCACGACATTTTCCTCCATTATTACCGATTACTCCAGGGAGATTTCTGTTAAACAAAAAAAAAAAAAAAGGCCACCTTCCTCTATTCTTTCCATGCCTTTTAGAATTGCACTTTATTACCTAATGGCTCACCCATTCTCATCCTGAGCTGGTATTTAGGTTCACTACGCGTAGCTGAGCTGCAGGAATCCATAAAGATATTTCTCAAAGAAGCCTATAAAACATTAGGATTAGGCAGTAATTACGTATTTTGCATAACTAAAACTGATGAACCCTTACTAATTATCATATCACTCACACTATGGCATCATCTAACACTTCATTCAGGCATTAAGACACTTCCATAGTTGGAACAGAACAGGAGAGCAAAACCGTTGCCCTGGAGACAAACAGACCATTGTGATTTTTTTTTCTTAATGCCGATAAATAACAGATGTCCACAGTAATGAAGAAATGCAAGAAAGAGGAGAGATAAAAAGTTTCCTTTGGAAAATCTGAGGAAAATAATAGACCTGTCAGTTTCTTCAGACTAGAAGAGCACAAATGCTTACAAAGAAAATATATAGATTTACACTACAGCAAGTCACTAATTTGCTGAAACAAGTACAATAGAAAGTGTTTTGACTATCAGAGGAGCAGCAGTTCCAGTACACTGATCCTGAGTACAGGAATGCTATCTATTGTAGGCACATAAAGAAACAAAACCATATCACAGACAGACACAAGAAATCAGAATTGATCAGTATTAGCTAGAAACACCTCCTGGGTTTTTTTTGTTTGTTTGTTTTTTCGTTAATTGTTGTCATTTTTTTCCTTTCATCGCTAGCTTCCAAAGTGGGCATGTACCCCTCAGAGGTTTTTTTTTTAATTCCGGCTCAATAGTCTAAATTGAATGTGAACTCACATTTTCTCCTGTATTTTTGCTTTTAATTGTTGCAGTAACTTGATGACTGGAAAAAAAAAATCCACTCTCCCTGCTCTAGCTATATCCTTTATGTAAACTCTCAATTTCTGTGATGCTTGAATTTACTGTGAATTGGACTATCATATGTATCTTTTATAAATAACTTTGGTAAAGAATAAACCGAACCAGTCAGTCATTCTCAATATTATTTACACTCTTTAGTTAAGCTGTCCCAAGGTTGGCCTAACCTAACAGTATGAGTAAGGAACAAACAGAGAACAGAAGTTAATTTTTCATGTCATATTGCCAAAAGATTTCCTTCATGCTTTTAAGTGACAGAAGAGGGCACCAACAGGAGAGCCAATTAATGCATTTTTGCATCAGTGCAAATTAACAGATCTCATTCCAATTACATTCAATTCCAGAGGATGTGGCTCCTCGAGTCTGTTGTCTCTATTTTGACTTCACAAACAATATTTTTTCCTTTATCCATGCAGTAAGTTATAATCAAGTCCATCACTACCGTGGATTAACTCACGATCAGCGGGTACGTTCCCACGCACACAGTCGGCGCTTTCATCGTGGGAGACAGAACTGCAAACTTGACTCTAATGCCACCAACACTATTGTCACTATTTTTTTATGTCACTAAACAACAGAGAAACGTGAAGCTAGAGAAGAATTATTTTGTTGCAGCTTAGGTTTATTTAAAAAAAAAAAAAAGCCACAACTGTACGAAGTTAGACTCTTGTAACATTTGAAAACAAACAAATAACAACACCAACAAAAACCAACCAAACAAACAAAAACAGGCCTGAAACTGGTCATCTGGCACTCCCCCCGGCTCCACGAGCCTGGGCTGCCCCGAGAGCTGACACGCTCCGTGCCACCGGAGCTCCGGAGCCTCCGGCAGCGCGCACGGCCGCGGGCAAAGTCCGGCCGCGGTGATCCCGCTGGGAGCCCCGCTGGGACACCCGCAGGGAACTCCCGAGGCCACAGGGGTCGGTTGCCACCAGCCTGCCACCAGCGCGGTTGCCAAGTGCCCCCGTCCCCGCAGGTGTCCCGCGTGCGCCCCGCCCGCCCCCGCCACAAAGCGAAGCAGCTCCGACCCCCGCCCCAGCCGCACCGCTCCAGAGCCACGGGCAGATTACACAGGTAGAGGAGGAGGAGGAGGAGGAGGAGGAGGCTGAGGAGGAGGAGGGAGCGGCACGGCACGGAACAGCACGGCACGGGTACCTGCCGGGGAAGCGCCTCCGCTCCGAGCCCCGCCGCCGCTGCCAGGGGAGGCGGAGGCGGCGCTCGGGGCTCCGGCGCTGCCGCCGACAGCTGCGGAGCACGGGCTCCTCCACAGCCCGCCGCGGAGCCCGCTCCCTCTTCCCAGCGCGGCGCGCAGCATCTCCGCCGCTGGAACCACCACCGACCGCCTCGGCGCAGGCGCCGCTGCCACCGCCCCCTTCCCTTCCCATCCCATCCCATCTCCTCCCGCACCCGGAGCAGCCTTAAAGTGTGCGGGGCCGGGGGGGCACGCGTGGTACCTGTCCGTCCCCGTCCCGGCTGACGTGTTCCCTCTTCCACTGCAGCGGCGGGACGGTTCTCCTCCTTCTGTAAAGCGTGCCCGGCTGGACTTCACAAAGCGGGAAGGCGCCTCGTAGATGTTTGCAGCAGGGATCCTGCTGCTCTGGAAGCTTGCGTTTCCAGCTCGGCGTACAGACTGGGACACGCGACATTGCCAAGAAGGAATAAAAAGTAAAATGCAAGCATTAATGAATAGCACAGGCTCAAGTAATGTTGCATGACAGAATTCTGAGGAAGAACACAAAGGAAAACTTCTACATTGCAGGTCTGTTGACTGGACGTGCCATGCATAATGCAAAGTATGACACGGATGCTTAAAATCCTAGAAGTAATTTGGATTTGTCAACAAGAGGAAATTAATCAGCGAAATTGTCCATTATAACTCAACATGTACATAACACTATGTATTTCTAAATTTGTTTGGTGTGAAAAGGGGTTTAAATTAAATGAAGCTGTCTTTTTTTTGGAATGAGACCAATCAGACAAATTTGTAACTTATGTTGATAAACTGTCTTGTGTAAACATGACATTCCTTGTGTGCATCATAGTAACAGATAGAAAATTGGTCTTCTAGACCAAAGGGTTAGCAAAAAATTGAAGTGAGCAGATTTGGTCTTTTTCCCTTTTAGGATTACAAGGATATTGTCTCATTTTGCACAGGAAAATTTCATGACTTAGTGGAGAGCTGAGTTCACTGAGATATATAAAGTTAGTTCTTGCCACTGAAAAAAGTGTCAACCCAATGCAAACCCCAAACGACTGTTTAAAGCCAAACAAAAGCAAGACTAGTATATTAAAGCATAGAAACATTCTGCTTAGTTTAGTGGTTAACCTGTGTTCTGTGCTGTTCTGAAAGCCCTCTTTAATTTTCATATGTTGCAATATCCTAAAACCAAGTAGTGCTGATGGAAATAAATAAATAACTAAATAAAGTCTTCATTATCTTTTCGTACAGAGTTGTTGAGGATTTGCACTAATATACCTGAGAACAGAGCGGGAATGCTAATACCACTGTTAAATTGCTGCTAAATACGAGGTTCTCCTCCAAGAGAACATTTTGCCACGAGTTTGTATGAATGAGTCTTGGCCTGAGCTACAGGCTGGGCACAGAGTGGCTGGAGAGCAGCCAGGTGGAAAGGGACCTGGGGGTGCTGATGGACAGGAGGCTGAACATGAGCCAGCAGTGTGCCCAGGTGGCCAAGAAGGCCAATGGATCCTGGCCTGCATCAAGAACAGTGTGGCCAGCAGGAGCAGGGAAGTGATCCTTCCCCTGTACTCTGCATTGGTGAGGCCACACCTTGAGTATTGTGTCCAGTTCTGGGCCCCTCAGTTCAGGAAGGACATTGAGGTGCTGGAGCGGGTCCAGAGAAGAGCAACAAGGCTGGTGAAGGGACTTGAGCACAAGTGCTGTGAGGAGAGGCTGAGGGAGCTGGGGTTGTTTAGTCTGGAGAAGAGGAGGCTCAGGGGTGACCTCATCACTCTCTTCAACTACCTGAAGGGAGGTTATAGCCAGGTGGGGGTTGGTCTCTTCTCCCAGGCAACCAACAATAGGACAAGGGGACATGGGCTCAAGCTCTGCCAGGGGAGGTTTAGGTTAGATGTTAGGAAGAAATTCTTTACAGAGAGGGTAATCAGGCATTGGAACAGCCTACCCAGAGA